GTTTAGCTTAAATTTGTAGCCCACTCTTACACCTATCTTTTGATACCAAGATATTTTTATTTTGATAAGAACTGACAAAGTTATGACAACTTTAGTGGAAAAAAACATAATTTTGGCCACAGTTTCTTCAACAAATCCATATATCGAAAAATCGGTACTTAAACCGACATAACTTTTGAACAAATGGTTCGATTTTGATAATTTTTTCAGCATTAAAATACTGTATTGATCTTCTTTCCAATGATATATAACAGTATAGTATTCAAACAGTTTGAATTTTTTATTAACATACCTACATTGGTTTTTCAAATAAAAAAATCAAGCCAAAAGTAAAAAATCATTTTTATTAATACAAACAACACAGTTTTTATCATAAAGTACAAAAAATAAAAACTATAAGTAAAAAAACTCAAATACTTATAATAAGAAGAATAAACAAACGTACAGCCGTGCGCAATGCACTAATTGCAGTGGTAGCGAATTTGCCTCAGAAACAAAGGATCCGTGGTTCAAACCCCACCTTTGGGAAAGTTTTTCGACATCGGTTAGAAAGGGGGCGTGAACTTCCAAATAAATGCTCATCCGCAGTGCTCTGTGATAAGACAGTAAGGACTTCTTGGGGCACCTAAATAAAAAACAAACACCTAAATAAAAAACAAACGTACGAACCAAAACTAAAGCTGGAATTTTTTAAGGCAAAACACTTTGCCAAAACACTTGGACAACAAAACATCTGAGTACTACAAAACAACAATTGAAATATTAGACAAAAACGGGTCCCTGTTTAACATCTCCTTTGAATCCAAAAATATTTTTTTACTTAGAAGTGGCAAAAAACAAAAGGACAGTCGTGCCAGCAGAACTATTCTGGAACAGTTCGACAAAAACAACAATTCCGTGGATCCGAATTCGGAAAAAAAACTTTACCTCCCACGCATGTGGACAAACACAAAATATCCTATTTCGTTTTTTACACAACAGTCTACCTTCTGCGGCCTTGCTAGCCAAAAGCACAAGGCTGCAGATCGTTAAAAATAACAAATGCAAAACTTATTATAAAATTGAAGACAACATTTATATCTTTGCCTATTTTCCCCCTTCTGTTGAAAAATGGGAGTATCCCAAACATGTATACAACTCCTTGAAATCCTAAAACTGCATTCAATTTTCTCAATTGAAACAAAGAATCTATCAGAGACAACCCAACTTCGCAGTTGCTGTTGACATTCACTCAAACCATCATGAGTGCAATATGGAACAGCAGATGCCACCATACATTTAGCAACACAAAAATTGACCCAACGGCATTTATTAGGTTTATAATCAGGAACATCAGAAATATTATTAAAATATAATTGTCATGTCTGTAGAAATACTGCGGACATTTTTTGTCAAGATTTTTGTCTTAAGAACGATTTTTGCAAAATAGAGAAACAAAACAACGGCTCTAAATTCATCTAGACCGTCATTTAGTGTTGCGCTTATATCATTCCTTTCAATAAACATTTTTTTATTTTTCTTACTCGACAAAGGTTACACGCTTTTTTGTTTGTTTTCGTCTTATTAATTGTCTGATTTATGCAATAATTCTTCTCACGCTATTCATCTCGAGAAGCATAAACATCCACGTTGTAATTTATCTCATAATAATTACTGCTATATTGTTAATTCTTATTTTGATAGTCATTTTTGAAAATGTATACTCAGATATTTTTGTAAACATATTCCATTAAAACATTTCGATTATTAAGTGAGCTGATCTGAGCGGTAATCGCAATTTCGCTAAATTTTATTTTACAGTGGAATTCGTGATAGTAATGTCTTTGTCGATAATTTATCGCAAATATCAAGTGATTTTACTGACTTAGGTAGCGAAAGTGACGAGGTTTCAAGTAAAAAGAAGCAGAATCTTGTCATTACCATCTATCGACTCTGAAGAAAGTGATGATGAAGTACTGGACTGGTTAAAAAATGATAGTGTGCCTATAATCGAGCAATTTATAGGAAAAGGTTGGGCTTTTGTTATGCCAAATATATCTGAGAGTGTAGTTGATGTAGTTCAGCTATTTATTGAGGACGATTATTTGAATATACGGTGACAGAAACGAATTACTTTCACGCACAAAATTTACAGTTATTTTGAGATGTAAAATCTGTTAAGTGAAAAGATGTTTCTGCGTAGGAACTAAAAAAAATGTTAGGACTATTTCTACTTATGGTTAGAGTCCGCAAGAATAGGAGGGATTAATATTGGTCTAAGTAAAGAGCAGTGATCGATTTTGATAATTATGGTATTCATGACATTTTTCCAATAATATTACAGGTGGTATAAAGGCAGTGAAGTTATTCCACTTTCCTGCTGCTTTCTTTATATGCAGTTATTTTCAATTGTTTTTGTACAGTTGTAAAAATAAATTACACACATAAATAAATAAATGCACACATATATACTAAAGTTATGACAAAAAAAATAATAATTTTTTGATCTGCAGTTGAAATTAATAAACTTTTTGTTACTAGTTTACAAAATCACATTTATTTTGCTTAATTCAAAAAAAATCTCGCAAAAAGGCACCTGACAAGGTGGTAAATACCATATATTTCCATAAAAAATACCAAGTATACCAATTTGGGTTTCGAAAAAATTGAAGTTTCATTGTAAGTTTAAAATAAATTATTCTTTTTAAATAATTAATCAGTTTTTATTGCATTATAAAAACTATTGTAAAAAAAATTATCGTAAAAACTAAGAAAAGCTGTTGTAAAAAACTAACATTTTCAAACCAAAATTTACAGAAAAATAATAACTTTATTTAAGACTTTTTTCAGCAAAATCTTCTTTCAGAAGATTTTGTTAAATTTTGTTATGAAGATAACATTAAAAAAAATTATAGAGATTTATATTTATTTATGTTAAAATTATATACTATAAAATTATATTTATTTATGTTAAAATTATATGTAACGATATTATACACTTTTACAAACGAAAAGATTTTAAGAAAGATAAAATTTCATAGAACATCAAAAAAAAAAAACATCACCGGGACTAATTTCTCCAAACCAGCATGGCTTTGTTCATCGTAAAGGATACCTATCAAACCTTTTAGAAACTCGGGACATCATGACGGAAGCAAATCACTGCAGACACACAGTAGACGTCATTTACACAGACTTTGCAAAGGCGTTCAACAAAGTACCACATAAACGCCTCCTTCATAAGCTGAAAGCGTACGGTATTCAAGGCGCTTTCGTTGATTGGATTGCAGCTTGGTTAAACAATCGATGTCAACGAGTGGTTATAAATAGCATAACTTCTGAATGGAAAGCAGTCACAAGTGGAGTGCCTCAAGGCTCGGCCCATTGCTATTCGTAATCTTTGTAAACGACCTGCCGGACAGAATTACTCATCAAACTGTTTGCCGACGACAGCAAAATAATAGGGATAATTAAAAATGAGTCGGACAGCATCACTCTCCAAGATGACGTTGACAGAGCATTGGAATGGTCACACATTTGGCTCTTGCATTTCAACGTTGAGAAATGCAAAGTAATGCATGTTGGGCGCGGATGTAACAAGTCGACGTACAAATACTCAATGTCTAACGTCGACAGCACCCGTCGTCCTCTCGAAAAAACCGCAAGCGAAAAAGAGTTTTTTATAAACTATTAGAGAACTTTTATGAAGAAAATACAAGAATTTAGTTATTTATTAGCCTCATATATAACTAAGAATTTAGTTATATATTAGAAATATGGCAAATAAAGGAACAAACAAGAAACATAACTTGACTCAGATATCTTTTCAAAAGAAATATGAGTCAAGTTATATTTCTAGTTTGTTTCTTTATTTGCCATATTGGTCAGTGCAAAAGATTCTTTTGCACTGACCAGATTCCTGAAATAGAATCAACAGATAAAGAATAGAAAAAAAACTAACTAAAGAATATTAATAGACACAAGAAACAACATGCACTCTGTAGTTTTTTTTAGAAGAAAGTAAATAGTTATAAAATATGTTATTCTTTAAGCATATGCTTCAAGTATTTATTTGCTTAGAAGAAAATAAGTAGTTATAAAATATGTTATGCTTTAAGCATATGCTTCAAGCATAGTATTTGTTATTATTAATATTAGTATTAAATAATATTAATAGTATATTAATTTATTTATACTTATAGTAAATATTATTTTATTTATAACAATAGCATACATTTAATATTAAATACTAAAATATGCATTGCTTGCTTATGCATACTTTAAAAAACATTGCTTGCTTATGCATACTTAAAAAGCATTGCTTGCTTATGCATACTTTTGTATTTAATATTAAATATATGCTATTAATATAAATAAATTAATATAATATTAATACTATTTAATACTAATATTAATAACAACAAATACTATTTGTAAATACTTTAGAGAGATGCGCATCTCACTAAAGTATTTTCAAGTAGTATTTGTTATTAAATGGTAATATTTTTTAACAAACACTAAAAAAACAAAAGACTCAAAACTCTACACACATAAGAATCTCTAAAAAGAGTTTTAAATTTTAAAAAATGTGTATACGTAGGGGAGACCGGGGCTAGTTGACTCGGTTTTTACTCTATGAGTTCTGTAGTCCTAACGAAACATTTTTTTGAAAACATAAAAGTGTAGTTTCAAAGAGTATGAATTTGGGTAACTTATAAAAGTTGTATTCATTTACAAAAAAAATATTGTGGGGCCTTTCTGGGCCCTCAAAAAAAAAAAAAAAATTGCGCCAACTTACCCCACCATGGGGTAAGTTCCTTATACTCAAGGGGTAAGTTGACTCGCAATAATAAAAGCTAAAGTTAAAGGTCCTATTTAAGTGTATTTCAATAATATTTTTACCCCGAGCCCCTTTTTTTTAAAGGAATCATAGCAGAAATATACTTTTATCAATATTATCAAACTTTTGGATCAAGTCATTGTAACATTTTAAGCAATAGAAAGTAAATATAATTAAAAAATACAGTGACAAAACAAAACAGTGTTCCCAATTTATGGTTATACAATAAGAATTAAAACTTATATTGTTTTATTACATGAATATTTTTAACTAATGGAGTTTCATATCGGCTAGCAGCAATTATTGCAAATGAAAAACAAAGATTTTCCGATTATACATGACTCGTGAGCCCAAAGGTGACATTGGGTGCATTGAACCCAAACTTCCCCTGCTTTACTTTTAGAAAACATTCCAACACAAACCAAACAAAAACACTCCTCTACAACAGAGCTATTTGGACAATTCAAACTTTTCTCCATTAAGTGTAAACTTCCTTTACTATTTGATCTTTTACTCATCTTAATATTATCTTCGTTTAACTTTTTTGCTTGTTTTCTCTCTTCAATTGCTAACTTTTTCTTTTTAGCTGATTCTTTCTCTATTTTTAAAACATTCATATTTGGTGAATCTGTTAAAATTGATGTGGTTCTACTTCTTTTATTAGCCCTAACTCTTTTTCTTGGTTCAGCTTTTTTGAATGGTCTTAAATCTTCAGGCGATAGAACTACAGTTGACTCTGTAGATGCACTGTGTTCATCATTACTGCTTGAATATGAAATATCTTGACGTGGTTCTATATCTTTTGAGCAACCAGCATTTAACATGTCATTCTCAGATATTGTAAAGTCAACATCCATTACATTACTTATATTTAGCACTGTACTTTCGATCTAGAGGTTGAAGTTTATGGCTGCAATGAGGAGGAAATGAACAAACCGATACCCCATTTTCTTTAAAGTAATCTAAAGCCTCTACTGAAAGATGAGAGTCATGATTGTCTAATAGCAACAAAACAGGTCGTTCTTTTGTACTTCTGGCATATTTGACAAAATGATGGGAAAACTGCAAAAATTGAACTTCAGTCATCCAACCAGATGGGTTTGCAGTGCCTGCACTTCCATCAGGAGCACCATTTAAAAAATAGCTTTTAAATTTCACACGAGGAAATATGAAAAATGGAGGAATTGAATTTCCACTGGCAGAAACAGCAACTGCCACAGTTACTAAATTGCCTCTCTCAGCCGAAGTAACACGCCCAATTTGTTTAAAACCCTTTCTTGCTACAATATGATCTGGAGTTTGAACTGTGGTAATACCAGTTTCATCCATATTCCAAATATCTCCATTTTCCAACTTTAAAAGATTAAGAATAGTTTGTAAATTGTTGTAAAACTTTTGAACATTTGTTGGATTAAAACTGGAAACACGTGCTTGACTTGTTGCCTCAGGTTTTCTTATTGACAGTTTTTTGTGCCTTTTGAGGTAAGCACTGAACCAGTCTTCTCCAGCTGCTTCATTTGCACTCCAATTATGAGGCATTTTTATGCTATTCGCTTTTCCATACTGATAAGCTAGTTTCCTCACTTCCTTAGGAAAAAGTCCATAATAAATATCAGAAGCTTTAGTCACATATTGTTCCAATAGACCTTCTTGTAAATCAGTAAAGACCTAAATGAACAATATCAATATTAAAACAAATAACACTATATATATATATATATATGTGTGTGTGTGTGTGTGTGTGTGTGTGTGTGTGTGTGTGTGTGTGTGTGTGTGTGTGTGTGTGTGTGTGTGTTATATAACACACACATATATATGTGTGTGTGTGTGCATAACACATACTAATATATATTGGTATGTGTTATACACACACACACACATTGTATTAGTATGTGTTATAACACATACTAATACACAGTTATAAAATATAACTTATATGTTTTTTAAGATCATTGAGAACTCTATTTGTAAATATATATATATATATATATATATATATATATATATATATATATATATATATATATATATATATATATATATATATATATATATATATATATATAAATATATATATATATAAATATATAAATATATATATATATATATAAATATATATATATATAAATATATATATATATATATAAATATATATATATATATATAAATATATATATATATATATATAAATATATATATATATATATATATATATATATATATATATATATATATATATATATATATATATATATATATATAAATCTTATATATGAGATAATAATTACTATACAAAACATATTAAGTTTATATATATATATGTATATATATATATATATATATATATATATATATATATATATATATATATATATATATATATATATATGTATATATATATATATATATATATATATATATATATATATATATATATCTATATATATATATATATATATATATATCTATATATATATATATATATATATATATATATATATATATATATATATATATATATATATATATATATATATATATATATATATATATATATATATATATATATATATATATATATATATATATATATATATATATATATATATATATATACTGACCTGTCTAGATTTTATGTAACCTGATATTTGCTGACTATGACGTTGTTGCTTTTTGCAGTATCGGGACAAACTTTTTTCAGGGATATTAAAGTCTTTGGCTGTTTTTCGTATAGATTTTCCTTCTAATAAAACAGCATCAACAGCATTTTTTATAACATTTTGAGGAGTTATAGCCCTCTTTGTTTTTCTTTTATAGTTTCGCATGTAATATATGTGATCTATCTAATCGATTTTTAAAAAAATAAATCAAAATTTATAGAAAAAGTTAAAATTTATGTCCAATCGCAACCGGGTTTAGTTGATATATACGGCCAACTTGCCCCGCCAAAATTTTGCCAACTAACCCCGACAGCTATTTGGTCACAAACTCCCCTACCGATCCCTGAAAAACGTATATAAATAAAAAATAATGGTTGGACAGATTTTACTGAACCATGCAAGATATAACTCCAATCAAGTTTACTTGTACTTGATGAAATTGCTTTTAAAAATCGAAAAAATAAAGAAGTTGTAAAAGTTACAAAAATGTGGAAAAAACACATAAATCACAATATCTTTTATGCGCATGCGCAAATCCCCACAATACTACAGTGAAAGATGAAATGGTCAACTAAGAAGGTTTCCTGAAATTATTGGCACTTTTTGATGAAAGACTTTGCAGATAAACGCAATTCGTCAACTTACCCCTGCTGCCAACTAGCCCCGGTCTCCCCTACTCTTAGCAACTCGATTAGCAAAATGTTTAATATAGTTTGCAGAGTAAAAAACCGTTTTGCTTTTTAAATGACTTTATATTAAATTATTAAATATTTTGAATGTTTAAAGTAAGTAAACCAAATACAAAATAATAATTATTTTCACTACTTTACTAATTTTCAATATCTTTGATATATTTTTACATTTTTAACTCAATAAAATTCAATATTAATTACAATCTTACACACCTCTCGGGCAGTGTAAAATTGTAGTTGACATAATTGTAAAATTGTAAACAAAAAATCGCCGTAAACTTTTTATAGGACTGCGTAATTTTACAATGTAAGCAATGTAGCTACATTGTAAATTCGCTTTATAGGATAGGCCCTTAGTGTTAAATAACATTGTTATTTAACACTGAGTTTCCAACATAAAATACTGTTTCTGTTTTGAAAAATTTAAATAAAAATAATATGATAAAGAATGATGGTGAAGGTATTCAACTGGGTTTTTCTTGGTTTTTATGGTTAGTAAAATAAATGATAATTTTTAAAAATTTATACATAAATTTTTAAAAATTTACGTAAAAATTCATTTATAGATATATTTGTAAAAAAATCTATTTTTTATTTTTTTATTTAGTATTTTTTTGAATAAAAATTAAATTTCAAGTTTAATTGGGTCAGGTCAGGTTTATCCTACTACTGGTAACATGTAACACAGTACAATCTGCTTCATGTCCTGCTGCCTTATAGGATATGCCATTTTAGGCAAAGGCTAGGAGATGCAAACTCCGACATAAAACACCCCCTGCCTTGGGGCTCTTGGTTGAGTAAAAGCTAGAGATGGTGTCTCGATAAAAATACTCATCTTGGGCAGATGTTAAATGCAAGTCGGCTGGTTGTCAGGTTTCCCGAACTCTGTGGTAGCTCTCAGAGAGGCTGATTCCATCAACAGCTGAAAAATATCAGAGTACTAACAGTGCCATGTTGCGCATGGATGGTGTCCCTGTTTGTACTTTTAATGTGTCCAAGGCCACATTGGAGCCCTTTGTTACGGCTTAGGGCTTATTAGTGGAAATGAGGCAATTGCTTGGGCTATAAAACAGTACACTGAGTACTATCTATGTTTAGAGTCAAGTTCTTTAACAAATTTAAAAATGAATAAAGTAACAAAAACTATAAAACACAAAAAACCACATTCATCGCCAAGTTCGCTAGACCTATCATTCACCAATATTTGTGGTCTTCGAAGTAACTTCTCTTCTGTTGAGTCTTATCTTTTGCAAAGTTCACCAGACCTACTTGCTCTTTGTGAGACTAATTTGAGTTCAACTGTCTCATCTTGTGATCTTAGTGTTGATGGTTATCTTCCTTTAATTCGTAAAAACTCTAATAGTCACATGCTTGGCCTAGGCATTTACATTCGTAAGAATTCACCCATTTGTCGGGAAACTAGGTTTAAATCCACAGACTACTCTTTTATGTGCTTTCATTTAGCACCACTTCACTGTATCACCTTTCTCTTTGTTCTATATCGCTCTCTTTCATCTCAAGACTGCACTCTTCTTGATGTTATTTCTGATTATATTGACCCCAAACCCACATTCTTTATCCATCAGCCAATATTGCTGTTGTCGGTGACTTTAATGTTCATCACACCGAATGGCTTGGCTCTAGTGTCAGTGACTCCACAGGCATTAAGGCCCACAACTTTTGCTTTTCTCAAACCCTAACTCAACTTTCCAACTCGCTTTCCAGACAACCCGATTCATTTACCTTCTCTACTCGACTTATGTCTTTTTTCTAATCCTAGTCAGTGCTCAGTTTCTCCACACTCACCCTTAGGTGCTTCTGATCATGGTTTGGTCTCTTTAAAACTATTACCTCATTTTTCTTTACCATCAGAATCCCCCTAACAATGTACATCTTACAACTACCTTAAAGTTGACTGGGACTCTTTCCGTGATTTTCTTCGTGATGGCCCCTGGGTAGAAATCTTTCGTCTTCCTGTTGACAAATGTGCTTCTTAAATAACTTCGTGGATTCAGGCTGGCATGGAATCCTTTATTCTTTCTCGACAATTCCAGGTCAAGCCTCACTCTTCTCCATAATCTTTCCTCGCATTGTGCTGCTGCAATTGCCAATCGAAACCATTACTTCCATATCTATTAGCAAAATAATTCTCCAGAAAACAGACGTCTGTTTATTACTGCTAGGAACCATTGTAAAAAGGTTTTGTCTAACGCCAAAGCCCGCTATTCTCAGATCATGAAATTTCGTATTTCATTACAAAAATTAGGCTCTCGTGACTTCTGGAGAATCTTTAATAGTATCAATAATAAGGGCAAGTCTGAAATTCCTCCTCTTTTGTACGGTTCAGACTTTGTCACCTCACCTGAAGACAAAGCTGAATTGTTTGCCAAGAATTTTTCATCAATATCATCTCTTGATTCCACTAGTTGCGTTCTACCTGATATAGCCATCAAACAGGTTGATCCACTGCTTGATATCCGTATCACTCCAGCTTCTGTATCTAAAGTGATTTCCTGCTTAGACTCTTCTACAGCTTGCGGCCCGGACAACATACCTGTTATAGTCTTGCAGAAATGTTCCCCGGAGCTGTTGTCTATCCTTTCAAAACTATTTAACAAGTGCTTATCAGAGTCTTGTTTTCCAGCCTGCTAGAAAGCAGCATATGTTATCCCTATTTTTAAAAATTCTGGAGAGCATTCCGATTCGTCTAACTACCGTTCTATAAGTCTTCTTCCTATAATAAGCAAGGTTTTTGAATCTTTAATTAACAAATACTTAATCTCTCATTTCGAGTCTCATAACCTACTTTCTGATCATCAATATGGATTTCGGTTTTCTCGTTCTACGGCTGATTTGCATTATAGTAATAACCGATAGGTTTTATTGTGCATTAGATAAAGGTGGAGATTATCGAATCCTTCCTTTCCAATCGTAGTATAAAATTTGTCCTCGATGGACACTCTTCTTCTTATTCTGTAACCTCAGGGGTTCCTCAAGGTTCAATCCTTGGCCCTATACTCTTTTTAATTTACATTAAGATCTTCCAGATTTTCTCACATCTAAGGTGGCATTGTTCGCTGATGATACTACCATTTATTCTTGTCACGATAAAAAGCCAACTCCCTCTGATTGCTTGCAGGGGGCATCTGAGCTTGAAAAAGATCTCACTTGTGCTACAGCATGGGGCTCACAGTGGCTGGTGAACTTTAATTCAGATAAAACTCAATTTTTTTCAAATAATAGTTATTGCAATAGTTTAGACCTTCCTATCTTTATGAACGGTAATGTACTCGATGAGTCTCCTGCCATTCATCTTCTAGGATTAACTCTTTCTTCTGATCTTTCTTGGAAACCTTATATCAAATCCGTTGCAAAATTAGCATCTGCTAAAGTTGCTTCTCTTTATCGAGCTCGTCACTTTCTTACTCTGGATTCTATTCTCTATCTTTATAAATCTCAAATCCGGCCTTGTATGGAATACTGTTGCCATATCTGGGGCGGATCTTCAAATGATGTTCTTTCTTTTTTAGACAAGGTGCAAAAACGCATTGTAAACATAGTTGGACCTGCTCTTGCAGCCAACCTTCAACCTCTGTCACATCCTCGTAATGTTGCTTCTCTTTCTCTTTTCTACAAATACTATAATGGGCACTGCTCTAAAGAGCTAGCGTCTCTTGTGCCATCTACTAAAATTCATTCTCGTGTTACTCGTCATTCAATTAAGTCTCATCCTTTTTCTGTTACTGTTCCTAAGTGCTTTAAAAACTCTTATTTGTCTAGTTTTTTTCCTCGAACATCAGTTCTTTCGAATTCGCTTCCTTCATCTTGCTTTCCTGATTCATATAATTTGCAATCTTTTAAGTCGTCTGTCAATCGTTATCTTGCTCTACAATTTTCATCTTTTCTCTTTCAGTAACTTCCAACACTAATTAGCGGTTGCTTGCAGCCTTGTTGGAAGCGAAGATGTTAAAAAAAAAAAAAAGTTCATGTTATTAGTGTTTTTTCTGTTTTTAAAAAACTCGCCTCCAGTTTATGACGTCATCCGCACGGTGTTAAGGTGAGTTTCCACTCATCCGTTTTTTCATGGGATAGGAAAGGGAAAAATAATCACGTGAGCATGTTTTCCATCAGGCATATTAAAACTTATATTACGCATGCCCACAGGATTATATTTCCCGTTCCCGTGAAAAAAACGGATGAGTGGAAACTCACCTTTATAAAGTACGCCATGGGATACGAAATCCTGGGATTTCCATCGCTAATACTTTATCAAAAAAATATTTTTGTAAGGTAAAACAACTTTTAAACAACAGTAATAGCAATAATGATACATACTGTGAAAATCTTTATTGACTTGAAAATTAAAAAAATGAAATACAATTTACAAAAATAAAATAGGGGACGAGTTTGTGTTACATTTAAACATAAAGCCATTTAAAAATGTATCAAGAGTTTTTATTTGAAGAAAAAAAAAAGAGATTCGGTATGATAACATTAGTTAGAATTTGGTATGAGCAAAACCGTCATTAAAATTCGTCTGCTATATATTTTGTTGACGATAAAGATGCTAAAGTTTAATTTACTAGAGCTACCTCAATAATTCAAACTTTTTTCCAGTAAGCAAATCCGGATTTGTTCACTGGAAAAATGTTGCGATTTACCTCAATCAATGTTTGCTAATACGACAATGTATTAAAAAGGAATGAAATATCGGACACGCTACTAAGATAGCTCATAGTATAAATTATTTACCTGATAAAAATTGACTATGCAATTTAGACCTGACCACGCTAAAATAAAGATGTCATTGTGGAGACTTAATATAATTTTTTAAAATTGAATCTGGTAAAGAAACTAGCACCACACTCCGTTCTGCGCATGCGCCAGCTCACCACACTCCGATCTGCGCCTCGCCATGGCCATAGAAATTGACTGGTCAAAGAGATTCCTTTCAATAATAATAGAAGTAACTTCTTCAAA